TTTTAGTGTATTTAATGGTTTGGGTTAGGTAATATAATGACTCAAAAAACAAAACGTTAGAAAATCCTTGCTCCTGACCCCTCCAAAGATTACCACTTATATTCTTTTTTAAACAATATTAATTTAAAAAATTGTATTTACTTGGAAGCATTCAGAATGTTAATAAAACACCTGCAAATTTACAGAGTGCTGTTCAGTCAATAGAACAATTTTTTTGTATAAGCTTTATGAGAGACCACCAAAGATGAAAAAACTACTATCCCTATATATAACTAATTTGTGCTGTGCGCCAACGAGAACCTGCTTTCAATTTCCATGCCAGTTTACAACCACCATACTGTACCAAGCAAGGTTAGTGGCTATTGAAATTCCACAAGGACAAGGCTAAATAGACATTTGGTAGCGTGTTAACTATACAAAAAAAAGACACTTGGGTAGTTTAAAGACAAATATTTACAGAGCCTTACATTTCAGTTTTTTTCTTTAAAAGGAGTGAGTTGTGTACAGGGGGTTAAATGCTTTATAGCAGCCGTTCTCAACTTGTGGGTCGAGACCCCTTTGTAACAATGAAAATACACAGCGGCATTCGGAAGATTGAGAACAACTGCTTTATAGACAAGAAAAAACTGCGCTATTTCATACCTTTCTTTTTTTGCTGTTTGGTTGGGGCCGTGATCAAACTGGCCACCCTGGGTATAGGGGGCTGGCGCCCTACTCCCTGAGCCACAGGCAGCGCCCATCGCCCCTTCTTTCTTTTTCTTGTTTTTTATCAACCATGACAACTCCCATTTTTGCTGCATTAGGCGTTTCTTTTCTTGTTTTTGAGACAGTGCCTCAAGCTGTCGTCCTGGGTAGAGTGCTGTTGTGTCAAAGCTCACAGCAACCTCCAACTCCTGGGCTCAAGCAATTCTCCTGCTTCGGCCTCTCAAGTGGCTGGGACTAGAGGCACATGCCACAATGCCTGGCTATTTCTTGGTTGCAGCCATCATTGTTGTTTGGCGGGCTCAGGCTGGGTTCAAACCCACCAGCTCAGGTGTATGTGGCTGGTGCCTTAGCCACTTGAACCACAGGCCTGGAGCCATGCATCAGGCTTTTCTTTAGCTCGGTATGCAGCATTATCCTTCTTTTCATATTTTTCCTTCAGTTTTACAGACTTTTTTTCACAACTTCTTGTTACCTGCAGCAGGGTTACTCCACATCACTCCCAGTTTTTTTGCAGCATCATCCCAGATAGACCAGGATGTTCTCTGATTTGGGGGCAATATTTAGAGCAGAAAGAGAAAAAGGCTGAAAGAGTCCTCTTGGGTACATCCTTAGACTTTTTTGTTTCCCCCTCCCTTTAGGAGGGAGGTTTGCATTTCTCCTTCATAATGGCCTTGTCTGCCTTTGGCATATTTTCAAATTTTCCTTTCTGTTTAGCAAACTTGGTCTTCCACCATTCTGAGCACTTCTTAGAAAAGTCTGAGAAGGTGACTGAAGCATTTGGGTACTTGTGCTCCTCCTGACAAGTTTGCACAAAGAAGGCATATGATGATATTTTACTTCTTGGACCTCTTCAGATCTCCTTTGGCTATGTTTAGTTATTTTTCTTCAGCGAGGCACAGAGTCGCTTAGTGCTGTCCATCCAGCTCTCACTTGCCCCAGCACTGACTCTGTAGGGCTCAGTGTACTGCAGTGTCTATGAGAGCAGTAGTACATTTATTGTGTTTCCATCTAGGGTTTTTTTGTTTTGTTTTGTTTTGTTTTTTGAGACAGAGCCTCAAGCTATCCCTCTGGGTAGAGTGCTGTGGCATCACAGCTCACAGCAACCTCCAACTCCTGGGCTCAAGCGAGTCTACTGCCTCAGCCTCCCAAGTAGCTGGGACCACAGGCGCCTGCCACAATGCCTGGCTATTTTTTTGGTTGCGGCCATCATTGTTTGGCGGGCCGGGGCTGGATTTGAACACACCACCTTACGTGTATGTGGCTGGCACCTTAGCCACTTGAGCCACAGGCGCCGAGCCATCTAGGGTTTTTTTAAGGGTTCTTTTTGTTTTGTTTTGTTTGAGACAGGGTGTTGCTCTTAAACCCAGGCTGGAGTGCAGTGGTGTGGTCATAGTTCACTGCAGCCTCCCACTCCCAGGCTCAAGGGATCCTCAGATCCTGAAGTGGCTGGGATTACTTCTAGGGATGAACTACCCTGCCTGGTTCTAATTTTTATCTTTTTCTTTCTAGTTATTTTATTTTAAGAAAATAGAAATATTGTATATTTTCCCCTCCTTCTTAGTGTGTTCTCTTTTTTTCCTACATATATTTGCTTCCCCCCAAATTGGAATCTTTGAGTAAATAGTCTTGTATCCTACTGTTTATAGTTACTGTTACGTTTATACATTAAATGTTGCTTGAAATAATTTTATGAACGTTTGCCAGGCGAGCTGCTTTGTAGACAGTAATTTTTAAAACATAAGTGTATAAGGGCAGCACCTATGGCTCAAAAGGGTAGGGCGCTGGCTCCATATGCCGCAGGTGGCAGGTTCAAACCCAGCCCCAGCCAAAAAAAAAAAAAACATAAGTGGTCTAGGCCAGGTGTGCCAGGTGTGGTGGCTTATGCCTGAAATCCCAGCACTCTGGAAGGCGGAGGCAGGTGGATTGCTTGAGCTCAAGAGTTTGAGACTAGCCTGAGCAAGTTGTGAGACCCTGCCTCTAAAATAAAAAAAATAGCTGGGCATTGTGGCAGGCACCTATAGTCCCAGCTACTCTGGAGGCTGAAGCAAGAGAATCACAAGAGTTTGAGGTTGCTGTGAGCTATGATACTACAGCATTCAACCCCAGGGTGACTGAGTAAGACTCTGTCTGAAGAAAAGAAGGTGGTCTTAGGCTGGGTGTCCATAGCTCAGTGGTTAGGGCACCAGCCATGTGCATCAGGGTTGGTGGGTTTAAACCTGAACTGGGCCTGCTAAACAAAACAAAAACAAAATTAGCCAGGCATTGTGGTGGGCACCTGTAGTCCTAGCCACTCCTGCTGAGGCAGGAGAATCTCTTGAACCCAAGAGTTTGAGCTTGCTGTGAGCTATGATGTCCCTTTAGAGGGCCACAAAGTGAGACTCTGTCTCAATTTAAAAAAAAAAAGTGGTCTTAGGCCAATGTTGTGACTTGCACCTGTAATCCTAGTATTCCTGTAGGCCTCTGTGGAAGGATTGCTTGAACTCAGGAACTCAAAGGCAGCCTGAGCAAGAGCAGGACCCGGTTGCTAGCCTATAGTCCTGGCTGTTATGCAGGCGGAGGCAGGAGGATTGCTTGAGTCTGAGAGATGAAGGTTGCAGTGAGCTATAATGATACCAGTTCATTCTAGTGAGGGCAACAAATTGAGACTATTTCAAAAAATAAAACAAGAGGGCGGTGCATGTGGCTCAAAGGAGTAGGGCGCTGGCCCTTATGCCGGAGGTGGCGGGTGCAAACCCAGCCCTGGCCAAAAACTGCAAAAAACAAAAACAAAACAACAAAAAGTGTTCTTAAGGCTCCAGTGGCGTCCATAGCTCAGAGGTTAGGGTGCCGGCCACATACACTGGGGCTGGGGAGTGCGAACCTGGTCTGGGCCTGCTAACAATAATGACAACTACAACAAAAAAATAGCTGGGCATTGTGGTGGCGCCTGTAGTCCCAGCTACTTAGGAGGCTGAGGCAAGAGAATCACCAAGAGTTTGAGGTTGCTTGAGCAGTGACACCACCCCACTCTACCTAAGGGTGACATAGTGAGACTCTGTCTCAAAAAAAGAAAAAAAAAAAGGCTGGACACCTAAGCTCAGTGAGTATGGTGTCAGCCACATACACCAAGGCAGGTGGGTTTGAGCCTGGCCCGGGCCTGCTAAACAATGACAGCTGCAACCAAAAAAACAGCTTGTGGCAGGCATCTGTAGTCCCAACTACTTGGGAGGCTG